TTTTTTTTTTTACCTTTTCAATGCTTCATTTAAACTGACAATACATTCAAGAACAAATTCTCATTTGCAATGTTGACCTGGTGACCTATTTGTACAGCATTTACTGAAGCAATCAGTGAAGTATCTTGCTCAAGGGCCCAACAACAAATTTCCAACCAAGCTGTAAACCCACACACCTCCAGTAATACACCAAACCACCACCCCACCACTAAACTATATTATCCTGCTGCCAGAGGAATTAGACATAAACCAGTGCTGTTATAATCACAGGGACTTCACAAGTAGCTACAGTACTATTTCTTTACTCAACAAGAAGGTAAAATGTTAACAAGCATTGCAGAAATTTTGGAGTGGGAGAACATTAACCAAAGGTCACTCATTTGACCTTCCTGCAATGTTTTTTCTCCTTGCTTTTTTACAGAAGATAAAGTTATTGCTGGTTCAGCAGGTTCCTACCTTAAGAGTATCTCTGTTAGGCTCAGGCAGCAACATGATAAGAAGGTGCAAAGCTTGTAGCTGTGTCCTGGAAGGAGAGATATCTGCAAATAACAAAAGCATTAGGAAAGGAGTCAGGGTTACAAGAAGACAGCACAAAAACACCCCACAATCCTTCAGCAGCTCAACAGCCTTTGTGTTGCACACTAAAGAAAAAAAGGAATATGAATGCAAATTAAAAGCAGGGGCCAAGATATTACTAACAAAATTTGTTTTGAAACAAAAAACTGCTTGGACTAAAAGAAATGCATCACAGATGGACGCTTCACTACAGCCAAAAATGAAAATTAACTCATTAACTCACACAACTCACTGTGAAAACAACTGAATAGATTTTCACCTAAGGACTAAGCATTTTTTTTGTGTCCACTGCCTCTTTGAATATTGTTGTACTAGTTCTCTGCTAGTACACAATGTCCAGGGGCAGGTTTGGTTCTTCATGTATGGCCAATTAAGAGTTGTTGCACTCTGGAAATCACTGGACGTTTACTGATAATTATAAGGAAATTTCACTTCCATACATGTTTGTTTCAAATACCAAAGTCTGCATTTTGTAAAAGAATGCCACCTTAGCCACACGATAAAAAGACTGGAAGGTTTATATGCTGATTTAACATACAGGACACCGAGTCACTACCCTACACAGAGCCAGTGTAATTCTCCATATTCACCAGTGCTCAAGAAAATACAGCTACTTGCCATTTGCCAATCTGCAGAAAACATTGACACTCTCAGCAACAGAAATAAAAAGCACATCTATTTCAGGCACCACAGTCTCACACCTTAAACCATTGTGGAAACAGGGAATTAAAAAAAAGGTTATTATACAATGGGAAAAACCACAAAAAAAAATTATAAGCGATGACAAAGGTGATGGAATACATGAGCTCCAGCTACAGGTATCACATACCACTCACTTTAAAGAGGAAAGTCTGGAATTTGACAGGAATATGTGTAAGCTACATAATACTTTAAAAAAATAACATACAATAAAATGGCTTTTCTAATAATAATAATAATAATAATAATAATAATAATAATAATAATAATAATAACAACTTTTGCATCAGTCACCTCCTTTGTATTAAAATGCCTTCTTCGTTGAACATCCAGTTCCGGATTATTCATAACCATACACTCGTATCTCAATCACTACAAAGCTGTACTACAGCACCGGCATGCTGAGCTCACAGACATCGATCTGCACTGTGATGCATGTGTTTAACATCACTCATACTGTACATGTGATCCTAACACCAGTGTAGAGACTGTGCGCTTGGGACAAAGGTGCACATGGTCCTCATCCTTTACTTACTACTATGAGAGTCATAACGAGAGTCAATTAATTGACAGATCTAAATGGGGGCTAAAACAGAAAAGATAAAGTAGCTGCCAACTCCCAGTTACAAGAATAACACAGAATATTAAGGCAGACGAAGGTTACTGCCCCCCTAACTACACAAACTGTAATAAAGGTTTTTAGAATCTGTTCCAAACAATAAATATCATCCTTGCATCATCCTAGGCCTTGAAAGAAAAGGAGGTTTTTATCAGAAACATGAGTAAGTTCAGGACAGGCCGTCAGCAGACACATTGCAGAGATGAAACAGATGAGATACAAACATTCAGAACCACACTCCTGATTACAAAATAAGTCCAAATTAAATTAAATTTAAGAATAACACGCGAGACCATAAAACAAATTGGGACAAATAAAAACACATTCAGTATTTTGCCAGGTGCCAACAATTTTACAATAGCAGTTACAGACCTAAAAAGTTCATTTTGTCAATGCTGAACTCCCTGGTTATTCTTAAAAATACGTCAGGTTCCGAACGATCATTCAGAAAGGACTGAAGTGTGAAATGTTCAATGGCACATTACAGCATTAGCTAAGGAATACTCACTTTCGACTGCAGTAAAGGTTGGGAGGTACTGCATGGTTAAGAGAGGATATGGGAGATCCCGGATAAACATTTTGAGAAGGCCAGCTGCATCATTGTGCCTCACTTGGTCCCAGTCGAACACGTCATCATAAAATTTCTCTTCCAGTTCCCGACGAAGATGCTATCGACAGAAAACATTTTGTTTTTAAAAAACACCATTCGAGATTTTTAAATAATTATACATTTGAATGCCCTAAAATGTTTAAATTCAGAATATTTTCTCTTCTGAAAACCAATAACCTTTTATAGCAGATCTACAGTACCAACCTGCAGCCTGATCTCATCTGCTTACCGATGCCCCGCACGGTCAGTTCCCAGCAGTACTGGAATGGGGGAGCTCTAAGGAAAACCAGTTTGCCGCTGTAAGTTGTCTCGCTGGGTCAGTAATTGACACTGACTGTTTGAAATTGAAATTGTTCTCTTTGGAGCAAAACTTCTAAACCAAATATCCCAATATGATGACAGCAGACATTACACTGTAGGAGGTGCCATCCTTGAAATGAGACATTACATTGAGGTCGTGGCTACTTGGCCACTAAAGATCCCATGACACTGTTGGTAAGAGTAGGGGTGTTAACCTTGGTGTCCCAGGTATATTCTACCATAGTTCAGCTGGTGAAGTAATTATCACTCCTCTGTCTGATCCGCTGTGCAGTGGGGCTGATGATACAGTACATAACAGCTGCCACGTGGTGGACGAGTTGGGTCCTTTCCTAGATGTTAAGTGCTTTGGGATGAATACTTTTATTACAAGTACACAGAATTATTATTCTAATTATTATTACCTTTTAAGCGAACTTGGACTACTGATTTCTAGGCCATGCAAGGTAAAACTATATCCCAGGCTAAACACTTCCATATGCGTGCCTGATGCAAACAGCAAGAATTTAATACCTAAAGCTTAAAGCAAAAATCAAAACCAGACATATAAAACTGCTGCCCTCCCTAATTTCCATAAGGTTTTCTGCACAGTTCTGTCAATTATGCAGCATCTAGCATACAAAATGACAAAATGTCACCGTCCTTTAAAGAAATTTACATGACCACCCCATAAATCAAAGAGACAACTGCAAAATGAAATCATTTTCTGGCTCAGATACAGCTTTAATCAGAGCTAGATGACATTTGATATGCATCATGTTAACACATATTCATGACTATCAAAACACATACAGCACTATATTTGAACATCTGTAAGTCTTTACTGTGTAAAACGTTTCCATCTGTCACATGCTGTTGACAAGGAGCTACTACATACAGTAGTGCCTAATAAACTATATTATCCTGCATTGTATTAGTAATGATGGTGTGAAGTGTGCAATTTAGTATGAACAATAATGATATAGGAAATTTTGTTCTAATCCAGTTAGGGTACAATGTAATTTTAAAAGTGCAAAACGTCACAACTCTTTGTCTTCTTAAAAGACTGTAGAACTTCCATATCACCTGAAAATAATTCTACAGACTAACCTTTCCTAGTGGGCATGAAAACCAATCTCTTTCACGTTAGACTTTCCTGTAGAATGTGTTTGCCCATTTTTGGAATAACAGATTAAATGTGACTAAATAAGGGAAACACACAGGGAGACCGTACAGTAATAAATATATTTAAATGAGCTGAATTGCCTTCCTGTTTCCCAGCCCTCCCACATTGGACACAAGGAAACACTCCTGAAGAAGAAGGTTCTTCTCACCTTGACCCGGGAGGCAGAACCCGGGACGCGAAGAATCCCCTCCGTCTGCAGTCCAGTCTGTTCCAGCTTCGACAGGAGCTGCAGCACACAAACGCCAGGAGAGCCGATGACTTGCGCAGGTTATTATTTGCGGAGGTCAACACAAAGGCAGGACGAGAGGTTAAACCCTAACCTTGCCCAATGACAACTAAGAGCCCCACTTCCTGTGCAGTTGCTCACGCACTTGGCGCCTGCCCTCACCAGAGACAAACCTTTCTATGCTGATCTGCTCCCCAGGCTCCCCTTTTTCATCCACCAAAACTCCAGTGGTCCCACTGACACAGCAGAAAGGAAGTCCCAGAGCTGCCTTATTGAAATTCTCCACCAGCCTCCATCTTTCCTGGTCTGTAGTTTTTGTACTTGAAGAACCCCACGTTGGCATTGTTTGGTCTCTCTTGATAGATCAAGACTTCATATCAGTAATCATCCCAGATGAATAAATACTAGTATACCTTGTGGAAAACTATCCATATTAAACAGAGATGTGCCATGTGGTATACTGTTGTAGAACATCATCAACTGCCAAGCAAATAAGTGAAACTAATGAACAGATCTGACAAAGAATTACTCTCCCATTGACATTGTTTTGAGAAAAAAATGTTCTCCAAAAATGTTCTCCAAAAAAATACACAACCGTGGGCCCCAATGCTGAAAAAATGACAGAATTTTCTTTTAGCTTTTAAGTTTTTAGCATTTTTAGCCATGATGTCAAATTAAAAAGAAGAATTAGAGAGCACTTTCTTTGTAAAGTCATACAGAAAGAGGAAACAAGTGCTGCTCAGTCCGCTAAGGTCATGAACATGAACACAATGCATGTTGTGGACTTCATAGGATTTTGGCCTCTGTGTATATAAGGTCATAACTCATAGCCTTCTGCAAAGAGCTTTAAATGTCCCTGCTTCACCTGTACCAGAGCACAAGCTCATGATTTCCCCTAAGGGACAAAAAAGCTTGCATTGAGTTGAACTGAATTGAATATCTTGTCTACTCTTATACTGAACAGTCACAGCAAATGAAAACAAAAATAGTCAACATATCATCTACACAGGGTCAACCAAAACAGAGTACTATATACTGCATACTAGAATCCATTCAACACAATCTTACACTACAGAATATGCTCATTACATAAAAACAAAAATGCCACTGGAAGCGAACAAAAAGACACAATAATTTGCCTTCCAGAATATTTAGATGTTTACTCAAGGACGAGGCCAATAGTTCGTCTGTATTAAACATGATACAGAGCCCAGGGTTTCGAAAATATTTGCACTTTATTTTTTTTACATCACCCTTGGAAAGTGCCCCTCCTTTCAGAGAAGGAAGCTGTTTTCAGAGGAAGGAACAGCCGGGTTGTGGCTTCTCTGTTTGATTTGGAGTCAGCCTACCAGGAACTCCCCTACATTTGAATGCTGAATTAATTTTATCACCGTGCAGAAAGTATACAATGGTTTAGATTAGAACACGCACTGTCTGAAGTAGAGCCTCACGGGGAATTCAGCTGTGTGAACAAGGTCAATCAAGGCTTTATTCAAACTCTCTCACAAACAAGCACTAGATCCTATCAGCTCACAGTCATAACACCTGAGAGCCTGGACGTTTTCAAGGTTAGAGCTACAGGTTCCTATACCAGCTGGTCTCCAAAAGAAAGAGGAGCCACCGATTTCAGTGTGGCCCCAAGCAAAGACACTTTTAAGACCTATGCACTCATATAATATTGATACTAAAATGTATTATAATATTATCACATGTTAAAAGGTGCTCAAAAGTAGAATGTTTTCCCTTTAGGTGTGTAGTACATGAAACGTATTTTATTGTATATATGGTTATATACAGTATTACCCTCAAGTCTGTTCTAGATTTGAAGATGTAAAACATTCTAAGCTGAATTTGTTTTGGCTTTCTGTTTTTTCTTTCCTGATGCCAGGAATCTGCTGCTGCTGTTGACTAAATGAATGAGACAGGAGAGGCGCTGGCGAGGCAAAGCTGAGATTTGCCAAATCAGTAATCAAGTGTCTCAGAATACACAGCACAAACAATAAGTAATGGCCTGAAACATACATGCAAAAAGGATTGGCAGTCAGTGTTGCTCAGCCCCAATATTTTGAATAAAAGAGTAGAAACCAAGACAAAGTAATGTCTTTAAAGTCTGTCATTTGGAAGGATAAACAAGAAACAGTCACTAAGTAAAGCAGAGATAAGTAACGTCCCAGAAGATGCCCAGACTCTTTTAGCACCGCAATTCAGAACACTTTTCTAAAAGGTAGAAAAAATATTTATGCACTTGTGTACTTTATTTCATGTACTGTATATTTTTGTTTGCTACACTTACAAAATGTACATAAAATAAAAAAAAAATGTCTGATGTCCTATATACTTAAAAATCTTGAAACTTAAGATCATCCTCAAACATAATTAAAACGTTTGTGGCACTGCCATAATGCACTGTAATTTAAGATGCAATTGTCATGAATGACAGCAAGATAGCAATCGGAAAAATTCTTGATAAATCAAACATTCTCTACCTTTTTAAAAAGAAGAGGAACTTTCAATCCAGGAACCTTTTTTTGGTCATTTTCTAATAAGGTTGTGAGGGGAACTCCAAAAAGGCCACTTTCTGTAAAAAAAATGAAAGAACAGAAGGACTGATGAGCTGTAGTATCTGTGCAACACATTTCTCAGATTTCAATTACTTGAAAAGTTTACATCATTGACAGACTTCTGTCAGGCCACCTACCTCGTACTTTGATCCGCACTGTACGGTTGCGTTTCAGTTCAATGCCCAGGGCATCATAAAATGCCGTTAATTCAATCAGCGAGAGGTAACCAATCTTCTTCATGTCCTCTGGGGACAGATCCCCCACCCTAGTAAATCCCAGCCTTGTACTACGCCACACAAATTTCTAAACAAATAAAAGACAAGAAAAATAAATATTCTGAGACATTGACCTGGAACATTACTACTTAATCAAACTTAATAGTCTTAAAACTATGAAATGTGAAGCAAAGGTGGTCAGTCCCAGTGCTGGGACTTACGGGCAGGGTGCCATCATCTTTCTTGATTCTCTGGAAGTTCTTGGAGTCTCTGTCTTTTCTCCTGCAGGCTGCTCCTTCAGAGTAAGGCACCGTGAAAACAAACTCCTCTGCTGGCCGTTCCTTACTCATCTGGCAATCCGACACACAGTTCTCCACTTTAAACAAGTGTTTGTGGGGGGAAAATAAAGAAAAAAAGACAAAGAATATATAAACCATTAAAGAACTCAAAGAAGGGGCCAAGGCTTATTATAAATAGCTACCCTGCAAAAGATAATCCTGTAACATATTCTGTATATTAGATGAGCTTCCTTGTACCTTTTTTCTCAAGTTTCAGTTGTTCAAAGTTTCAACAGTGTCCCTAATTTGAAGTCTAAAATGTCACTTTTCTATGCGTAGGTGTTCCGTGCCCTGCAGAAGAGCACTCTCTTCAGAGAGGCAAGCACTTCAAAGAATTTAAGGCTATTTCTCTTTCTTCTCTCTTCAACCTCCATAAATTCAAGACTAAGTGGCCCATTGCATTTACAGATGTGCTCCTGCTTAAGAGATACAGTATGTAGAAATCCCTGTTTTCATGAAGACTTCACTGTAATGGTTGTGTGTCTTCAAGAAGACTCCTTAAAGTTGGAAGCTTGTGTCCAAGAATCCCAGTATATTGGTTTTCTGTCTGTTATTTGCACCAGTGATAAGTAAAATTTTGTCCATCTCTCAGAGAGCACCAACTTCCAATTGATGCTACAGATCAGCCAAATGCTCTTTTGTGCTTGAAGAACTTGTTATAGTGCTTATTTGCCATATGGTATTGATACACAGACATAAAAACTCATGTGGCCGTGAAGTAACTTACAAAACAATGTTGGGGTTAGGTTTTTAAAAAAAAAATCATTCTCCCGTACTGAAGTCAAAACATGGAACAAGAGGCCTTGCCTCCCTACTCAAGAAGCTCGAAAGCCCCCGAGTAGGAGGCATAAAGAAGATACATCATACATCCAATATTACTCGCCGACGGGAAAAATGAACAAAAAAAAGGGCGTATCCACCGTACACGTCAAGGTCATTTCCAGCGCGAAAAATAAGAAAAGAGAAACAAAAACCCAGAGTCTTTGGGGCCACTTCACTTAACTTCACTGAGGGAATGAGGAAGAACCAGAGAAAGAGATGACGGCACCCCAACCCCCGCCCCCCCGCCTGTAAGTCTCCCCTATATGCGCCTTCTCTTCCTGACACCTCCTCTAGGGAATGAAACTAGGGCTGTGATCTGCTTCTCCACTTACTTCTTGCTGGTATCCAAAAAGGCAGCTTAGGTGGATGTGGATGTGGATGAGGCGTGCTGCTGGAAGGGGTTGGTGAAACGGGCTCAGAGGACTGTGAGAAATTGTAGAAGGATAAGTATATTAGAAAGAGACTCATTTCCCACAAACAATCAAGCAAGCATTTTAGGAATTTCAAGAGCTCTCAATTTTTTAGTTTGTGTTTCCATTTTGTTGCCTTGGCTAAAGGTTCTTGGTGTTCACCGGGGCTACATTAAGCCACATGAATGCTTTGAAGGCCATTGAGATCATGAGGAATGCACAGTCGATCAAGAGCCCGTGACCCCATCAGCCGCAGACCTGCAGGTTTGTAGACCACCAAAAGGTGTGACAGACTAACAGTGATCCCCTCCCACATCAAAATGTATGAAGATACACAGCAGCCCACGTGCCAGGCAGCATCACAAAACTGCTCTAGAAATGTGCAGTGGAGAAAACAGAGGGCTACATTTTCATTTAACATCAGCTTATTTGCATAAATCGTTTTCCTTCTAACTTCTGTCAAAAACTATGACCTCGCCTAAAACAAGGACTGCAGAACTTGTTAAATTAATAATACATTAATTTAACAGATTAATACTTGGAATGATTTGAATCAGCCCTGACTTGATAACTATAAAGAAAAAATTGAGGAAAGACCCCACGACTTTGTGAAATTAACAAGTTGTTTGAAACTGAAAAAAAAAATAAAAAACATGAACAATGATTTACAACCTCCACATGGTAAATAAAATAGTTTGGATTAAATTCTGGATGTGCAAAAACTTCAATTAAATAAGAAGCTATCACACCTACAATTGATCACATGGTTTAATGCAATACTCACATTTAAAATTCCACATTACCATAACACCTTTATTAAATGCAATTTTAAAGCATCTTTTTAATTTTCTTTTTAAAACATGAAAATATATTTGGCTTTAGCAAAACACTTCTTTAAACAAATGAGATATAATAAAACTTTATTTTATAATGTACCAAAAATATCAAAGTGCTTTACATTTAAATAGAAGTATGTTTAAAAACACTTTAAAGAAATACTATGAACAAATGAGAAAAATACTTAAAAATATAATTCACTGCAAATCAAACAGAAGCAACATTAATACTGTATATTTTCAGACTGGATTTAAAAATATGGACTTTTTGTTCAGAATTCTTCCATCACAGTCTCTGGGTTCATTCTCAAACATTCACATCACAAACTTCATTAATGCCACAGAAAAGCCAGAGTAGCCTACAGAAATAATCCAGGTGCTGTAAAAGTCATGTTAGGGCACTCACTGACTTATGCTCTGGCTTAGTAAGGAATGCGAATGATGGACATAGGGAATCACTTATCCATATTTATAGGAGAATGTGTCTCCATCTTCACAACAACTGGTTTCAGATGTTCCCAGTATCTGTGGCAAATAGGTACTTATATGGAAAAATACATCTGTTGTGTATTAGGTAGGTACATATGAGACCTTATACTTATACACTCATAAATACTATTAGCAGTTACTACTGATATTGATAATTATAACTATAAAAGTGTTCATACGGAAGCCATTACTCTAAATGCAAACTATACATTATGCACAACATTACATCTAATTATTTACATAACCTAAATTAAAAGCAGTCTAAAATAAAGTTATAAACATTTGGGAGAAATTTAAAGATTGCAGGAGAATAGATTTACAGGAAACACGCAACTAAAAGTCATACGCTGTTCTGCATTTTTAGTGGGTTTATACTTACAAAGTAAAACCCAGTTTCAGTCTCAGCAAATCAAGGCTTGAGTTTACTAGACAATGCATTGGATTTTTAAAGTACAAATGTAAAGATATTTAAATTGAAATTGAAGGAAAATAAGTCGTCTTCCAGTTTTTAAACTGGAGTACTTCACAATGCTCGATTACAATTAAAACGAGAGAGAAAAAAACAATATATCTCTCAGTCCAACTGAATTAAGGAAAATTAACATAACCTCTTTTAACTATCAATACTGTACATCATCATTTGAATGAAAGACACAAAATGAATTCCTTTTCATAGTGAATTCATTCAGAACTTGAGTTCACAAAAATGTTCAAATCTTTGCAAATCTACCCATGGCAACAATTTGTTTTATACTGTAGGCTATAACATCTTTGAACTTGTAACCTGAGGTGCCTGTCAGATCACGATGAGGTTTGTAGCTTTGACATCATTTCTCTGGGTACATTCAGTATAAGCCCTCATGGCTCTCCAAGGAAGAAACTGGAACACAACTAAATAAAAGGTAACATACTGTTGTAAGGTGTGATGCTAAATTAAATGTCAATAAAGCAGAGAGCTGAATCATTTTTGTGGAGAAAAAAAGGCCAATCTGTTGTTTTTTTCCCAGACCACTATTATTTAGGGCTTTAAATGGAAAACAACAGTTCTAGGAAAAGAGAAAGGATTCCAAATTATCTCAAGACAGCACAAAGACGGTTCTAAATATATCTTTTTATGGTAAGAAAGGGGAGTTGTGGTCTGGAATTGCTCAGCAGAGGTCTGCTTTCATTTGCTGTGGAGGATGCTAGTATAAGAGAGCCTCACAGTGAGTCATCTCAGAGCAAATCATTAACAAAAAATGTGCTTACATGCATACCGGCTGAAATGCCAGTCTGAGAGAAGGGAGGAAGGGGAGCTTGTGACAGAATATGCTGACTATGAATCAGGCTGGAGTGAGTAACAGATTGCACATTCTGCACAGCACAGCTGCAAGATCAGACCCCTGTGTCATGTGCAGAGTGAAGAAACCACAGCTTGGTGAATGAACAGACATACTGTAAAAATAACTACAAATTCTCTGTTAAAAGTAATGCTGCTGTTTCAATTAAACTCTTTCAGCATGTGCTTTGCATGAGAAAAACAAACTAGATTAGAGAAAGAGAAATTTTAAGTCAGTGGGTGTGGAATTGCTGCAGGTTTTTGAGTTTATGAGAAGTAGTGAGGTAAATGAAAAAGTGTTTCCTAAAGTATATACAGTGTCTTGCAAAATTATGCAGACCCTGCCTATTGTGTCCCATTGAATGAAATTACAAAATGATGCATGCTCATTTTTTAACTCAATATTTTATTCAAAACCTGAACGCTCACACTGAATATTTATAAGGGTAAGACACAGTCTAATAAATATCAGTAAAAAAATATTGAAATATGGTGATTGCAAGTAATACAGTAGGTTTATTCCATGCTGAAAAGAGAAGGCTCCACAGCTGAAACGTGTTTTCTTTCTTCTCTTTTCAGCATGGAATAAACCTATTACTGTTTGCTAGAAGCACCTTTGGCACCAGTTATAGCTGCAGGTCTTTTTGGGTAGACTTTGCACACTTCCTTAGTGCCATTTCTGCCTATTCTTCTTAGCTCATTAGCAGACTCCACGTTACGTGAGCACCACTAATGGACAGCAGTTTCCAAGTCTTTCCACAGATTCTCAGCCGGATTCATGACAGGAATTTGACTTTTAGGAATTGTAGGTCTGAAGCAGGTTTTCCTCTATGCCAGTACTTTGCATCACCTATGTTTCAATCAGTCTTGACAAGCCTCACAGTCTCTGCTGACGAGAAGCAGAACTATAACATAATGCTGCCACCATGATTGTCAGCAGGAAAGATTATAACCAAGTGATGTGCTATAATGAGCCTTTCAACATATGATTTGTTGCAAACTATGCAAGATCTGAGATGGGTTTTCCACTTTGCCATAGCAATCTAGGCAACTTGAACTGGGTATGTCTTTCCATTGCCCTGATGGTGGCATGGTGGCAGTTTAGAGGGACAGCGCGATCTAGGCAGTGTCTGGATGTCTTCCGCTTCTTAATGATGAGCTTCATCAAGCTCAAAAACACATTATGGCTCTTTGAAATGTTTGACAGCTTTCTCCTAATCTGAGTCTTTATACAGCTTTATCCCTTACCTGGCTGGCAAGCTGCTTGGTCTTCATAGTTAAATTTGTGCTTGAAATTCACTGCCTGACTTTACAGAAATCAGTATATCCGTTCTTAAATCACGTGGACAACTATTATTGCACACAGACAGAAGCAAGTTAACTAGCTGAAGGGCTTGTTAAGATAATTTTATGTACTTAAATAAATTAGGTTGACCTTGACTTAGGTTGACTTCTCCAATTTATGACTTCTCCATTTTTCTTTCATATCTGCTACCTACAGTATTTGCTATTTCTTTGTGTTTATTTTTTGAATGTGTAACCTTCTGCATAAAACCATACTGTTACCTCACAGTGTCATGTCATTGTCTCTGCAAGCTTTAGCAACAAAATGTGAAAACTATGCAAGAATCTGAATACTTTTGAAAGACACTGTATCTGCAAACATCATCTTTAACTGTTGCTGAAATTGGCAGAGAAGCCAAATAATTTGGCCAGCATTTCCCATAATTTTGTAATTTTAGAAATTCAAGCTTCAAATATAAAAGACACGCAAGAATACAAAATCTGAAAGAATGTGTTGTCAACAGTATGCAATGTTTTTTTAAGTTCTTTTAAAAAAAATTAAGTTATTTTAAAAAAATGACAGCCAGACATTATTTGAAAGCAAAACAACTAACTTATTCATATTTTCTGCATGAAGCCAGTTTTCTGTTCCTGATATTTGAATAGTTTAGATCTGCAAACTTCACATGTAAATGTCATTGTTGACTGAGATACTACACTTCCTAGTTTCCTGCTCTGGGCATGCCTGTAGAAATTATTCTGTTTAGGCCAATTGCTTAGATCAGCCATTCATCTTAAATAAATAACTGGACATGACAGCGAATAAACTGTAGTTTAATTAAGTGAATATAATGTGGCTGGTAGTTTTATAACAGTGGACAATGCTCCTTACATTCAAATCGAACAAAAATCACCAAATATTTTTATACTGAAGGCTTTATTTGTAATCTCACAGGTAATTTCAGAGAAAGTGTTGAGTGGCTCTCAAAAAATACAATTTGTTGAAATTTTAAATAAAACACTTCAGAAATGCATGTATTTTTAAAAATGTGATGATATGGAGAATGTTTGGCTCCAAATATACAGTATAGTATTTTTCCTTCCATAACTTTGAGTGGAAGACTGCAGGCATGGCACAGTATGAAGTGATTTGAATAACCGATTTTTTACAGTTCGTTTACTTTTCTGTACTTCTGTCTTCTTCTTTCTCATATCACGACTAATACTTCACAGCCCACATTCTTCCGAAAAGCATTCACAAAGTCTAAAGCTCAGTACCGTACAGAAAAGTTGACATAGCATTGTACCCTGGCCTTGGCAGTACAGAACAGCCTAGAGAAGCAGAACTAGCGGGCTCTGCGCCATTTAGTTCTCGTGCTGCAGCTATGCATCCCAGATGTACTCAGAAAGTCTGTAAAATATCCTAAGGAAAAATAAGAGAGGACACTATATACTGTATAACAGAATATTCTGCAAGTATAAATGTAATAGAAATATACAAACCAGGAGTCAACACCAAAGCACAAAGAGCCCACCGGGCCTAAAAACAATGCAGTGCAATGCAGTATCATGTGAAAGTACTGGGATGTTATTGACTCAGTTTTGGGTCACTGCTGGTGTAAATCAGATGTATAAAAACTGAGCTCCATATAAAACACGCGTGACCGGCATCTCTCTGTTCGCGAAGGACGGCTCGCCAGCTCGTCGCGGGACGCGGCACGATCGCCCCTCGCTTACCGGCGTGTCACCGCTCGCGAAGATATCCCGGACGTCTCGCGCGGGCTGCTTGTTCTTCTTGCGCATGGTCTGCGTGTAGTTGTCGAGGCGCTTCTTGACCATGGCGGCCTGCGTCCGGGTCAGCGTGGAGACGAGGGCCTCAGCCGGACTGTCCCCCGGGGGCCCCGACACCAGCGTGGACAGCCCTGCCTCCTGGAGCCAGGCTTCCTCCAGCTCCCCCTCTGCAAGGACAACCGCACCAGCGGGCTGCTCACAGCGCTCCTCTACCACAGCAACACTCCCGCCTTCCTCAGGCTCTTCCCGCTTTTACTCATGCATCTGTCTGGCAGTTTTCTCCCAAGAGGCTTACACGCATACCTCTGTCTACAGCTGAGCACGTAGTAAAGCTCTGTGTTCAGGTGTACGGCAGTGTCCCACCAAGGCTTTGAACCCTGAACCTCCCAGTCCTGAGCCCAGAACCCTCAATTATCCTCCAGACTACGGCTGTAATCAGACTAAATAAACCTGGGATCTTCAAATCAAAGATCCAGTTTTATCCGCCACAATGTAAGAAGCATTCACCTTTGATATTCAACTGAAACAGAGCTGTTTCCAGATTTGTTTAGTTAAACAGATATTAAAAAAACCTAATAGTGAATATTTTTAGAGTACTGACTTAACCTAGGCAGAAGTGCTAAAGATTCTAGGTGAAATAACTGATGTGAAATAGCAAGTGCCAATGCTTAAGACCGTCTCTCCATACAAATACACATTCCACGTTTCAATCATCATTTCTATCATTATCCTCATCAACATTTCCATTTACATGTCCATCCATCCATTTTCTAACTACTCTGTGCAATTCAGGGTCATGGGGGAGCCAGAGCCTATCTTGACAAGCAACGGGCGCAAGGCGGGGTACACCCTGGGCAGGACACCAGTCCACCGGAGGGCACACACAGACACAAACACACACACTCACTAAGGGGCCAATTCTCCCAGCAGCCATTTAACCTATCAGCACTACCAGCACTTTCCTGCTTACCCAGAGCTGTTGTTAAGCAGAAAAGTAAACGTTGGGCTGTGGGAGGAAACACTGGAGGAACTCGGGGAGAAAATACAAACTCTACACAGACAGCACCCCAGGAATTGAACCCAGGGCTCCAGCGATGCCAACTACTGCGCCACTATGCAACGCACATTCTCCATTTATACACTCAAAATAATGTAACAGCTAATTAAATGACTCAATTAATTATCTAATCAAAATCCACAAAAGAGTGCAACAGCTTCTAAGTCTAGTTGAAGCCAGACGCCGTCCAGAAAGAGCAAACTAGCAGCCCCTGTCCTCACTTACCATCAGCAGATCTGACCTCGATCACCTCTTCCTGGGCGCTGTCACAGTCCTCCTCGATGCTCTTCACCTCGCTCCAGTAATCCTCCATGGCATTGCTGTCCAGGGAGTCCTGCGACACTGACCGGGCAAAGGAGGGTGGGTGCAGAGAGTCCTGAGAGATCATCCTGCTGGTCTCCTGGTAGCGCACTTTCCTGCAAACGACAAATCGGGCATGTCATGCCATCATAGGGTCTCCTAGTAGGACACGTGATGTACCTTTTGTGCGTGCAAACCTGGCCTGGGAAAGTCGGGTCACAATGTCAATATTGAGAAACCTCAATCATTTTAAAATGGAAAAGCAGCGCAACACCATTTCAGATTCTGCTTTTCATATGGAAAGCTTTAAGAATCATGTCTCCCACAGCATAGCTGTTAATTCATCTAAAAAGTTAATATAGAAAAATCACTACACTTTTAAAATCATTAAACTTTTCACTAAACTAATTTAACAACAATTAATTTTTGTAATAAACAGTTTCTAAATTCACACAGCTACAATATCACATCTGATTCAAAGTGCATTTTGTTCAGGTTCTCTGTGTGATTCCAACAGAATAAATACATATTTTTATAAACAATAATGGAATGCTGTTTATTTATTCTCAGGAAGGAACTGCTTCTAATATTATAGAATATATTTCCATATTATAGATCTATTATAGAATATTTTTGTTTTACTGATGTGCCTTTTATCAAGGTCTTTGGAAGATTTTGGTCACAATGATCTCATTCTCTTTCAGTCACTTTCTACGTTTGTCTCATGTCACAAAATCGTCAAGACAGGAAACAATTATACTCACAAAATATTACAGTATTTGTTACGGTGTAGAACAGTTCTAAACCAGAAGCCTTAACTAGAACTCCTGAACCTTGTAGCTCGCAGCCTGCAGCGAACATGAAAAGGACTGGGTTCTTTTTAATGGGGAGTTCTCAAGACAAAACCTTCAGAGTGCCAACTAGAGTTGGCTTTTTGTCAAAACCCCGGACATCTGAGTCAGATGCACCCCTGTCTTTGGCTGGGCGCTGCTATTGAGAGCTGGCACATGGGCCAGGGACACAGATGTTTGTGTTTCTTCAATAGTGTGCTGACACACACCGCCATATTCAGCTAAACTGTAAACGGTAAAGAGACATATAGGTATGAAAAGGTTAAAATGGTTAGTGTTAAAATTATTTTTAGGTTCATGGACATACAGTAGTCACAGTTTATAAATCAAACCCTGTGTGGATATATGTTAGTGAATAGAAACCCATGTGATCCCACTGTGATTTGGAAGCTGTAAGCTTCAAGATCCAAGAGCTTTAAAAAATTAAATAAAAACTTAAATGCAAACCTATTCATTATTTTACAGTAAATCGGGGTGCAAAATGACAAATTGATGAGCTGTAGTGTACATTACCCAAAAAGTCAGCCCCAGTCTAGAAACATGTCACTTATATTCAGATACTTTAAAAAAACACATTCTGGCCAAAGGTGGCAGCTGCTGATATAAATAACTTCAAGAAATTTGCAAACCCTTTGAGGTTAATACTCCTTTTCTTTCAATTACAGAGCACAACCATATACTGTAACATCATGGGATTCTGAAACATTTTGGTCTGGGGGTCTTTCTTTTTTTGCTGATATTCTTGTAGGTTTTAATATTCAACCTAAATCTAGGTTTTCCTAATAGAACAAAAAAGAAATTATAGTGCAGGAAGACATCAAAATCTTATGAATCTATCTTATGCCCTTGAGTCACGAATTCTGTGGTCATTGAAGAAGAAAAAAAGCACTGCTAAGAAAACAAATACAGAAAAAAAACTTCACAATGAACATTGAGGCCCAATACAAATACCTGGGAAAGTGATAACCTGGAAACAAAGTAGCAAAGTTCTAAAATATAAGCTACTGTACCATATTATGTATTTAAAAGGATATTGATAGTACTGTGCACAGTGCAGACATTCAGAATGAGTTCTGTTAAAGCAGCTTACAGGGTTGTGTGCCATTAAAAGCTGACAAATGCAAAAGGCCACCAATGACATCATTGTGTTCTTCTTGCTTAATAAGGATTTATTACTTGTCTTGAAGGATTAGCCTCTTGTACTGCTGAGAAATAATACATATTCACCAAACCTCTGTCAGGGGTTTACTGCTTCCTAATCTAGTTAGACAAAAAGCCATACCACATGCTGGGAACAACAAGACCATATAAAGCAATGAGCCTCCAGTCATATTGAAATTAGTTTTATATCACCCAGGACCTTATCACACTTCACACAGGTTCAGATCGGACATTTGGGCATTCGTGAAAGGGAAGCTCACGTGATTATTCTTGTTTGACATGACTTACTTTCACTGTAAGCTTCCAACCAATTCAATACAGACCTTGAAAACATGGATAGTCTTTCAGTTTATTTCCATATAATGAGTCACAATGGCACTGTATATATATTTTACCTTTGAGAGAGTCTCTGTTTTAAGAATAAGATAAAGAAATAGACAACAGGACAACTGAATGTTTGTACAATGTCAAAATAATTAGTATTTGAAAAAAGTTAATACAATTTGATAAATCACTCTCATTCATTTTTATTTCCTATGTAATTTGGCAAACACTTTCAATTAAAAATGTTCACATTTTTTATTTGAGAGAGGACTACAGAAAATAGTTGTTTTTTTCTGTCGCATAGCACATGAAAATTTGCACTGTGCTTACATAGTGTTAGATTATGTCATGATATTCATGTATTGTAACATTGTATGGATTTCATTCAAGATTTCCTGTGAAAATGCATACTAAGCGCTAACATGAAAACTAAAAATTCCATTTATCTAATCTAATACACAAACCAGGTATAATTACATATCAAATAAAAGAGGTGTAATATATGACAATTTAAACTTGCATCTGATTTCAGTCATTTCAAATTTACCAACACAGTACAACAACTACAGGTCTTTTAGGGCTTGTAACTTTTTTATTTTCTGTTTTTTTAGAGCTTTGAATACCCCAGGTGAGACTGTTAAGAAGGTAGGAAGCAGAATGAAGAAGTCCTTTGTTCTTATATACTGTAAAAAAACAAATAAGCTCTTGGGTTTAGCTTCAGAACTGAAAGAAATGACATGTTTGCTTTTTTCCATCCTCAAACACAACTCTCCGAGATGGGCATCTGTAGTGGGATCAAACTAATTACTTGAACTGCTATCGGGGTTCTATGACTGGATCTGTGAGTGAAGGTCTGCAGCTTTCTCTCCTTCGGTGACTTTACAAACATGTGCTTCTTGGCTTCAGGTGCCAAAGTCCACAAACCTCAGTGAACATTGTGAAAGTCTGTGTTTGCTCTGCACAGCTTCATGCACCGTAACTGAATTTCAAGAGCAGTTGTCAAATAGCTTTCAGCCTCATGAAAACCAGATTAGACCACTTTCAGGTCCTTAACAAATCTTAATTAACCTATTGTAATAATGGAATCATTGACATAGATAAGAACAGACACAAACTAGAACTGATTGCATACTCTTTAATTTACTGTAAATTTAAACCTTTGTGGTACTGATTTACTGCCTTCTCAGGAAAACACTAAAAACATCCATGCAAGATTTAGAGCTTCACTAAATCTGTGTATGATGTGGGCAATTCTAGTGTTTGTGTCACATTGACAAAACACATTAAAAAATATAGCCTGAAATCAAACTGAAAATACAGTTTCAAATGAGTAAAACATCTTCATTTGACAAAATACTTATCCATACAAAAGTGGGGACTGCAAAATGTTCACTAATTCAGACACTGTATGTCTAAGCTATGAATATGTTAGACATCAGATGTTTTCTTTTGACACTTTGGTTACTAGAACAAAGTTGATATTGAAATATTCCCTTTTGTTTTCTGTGGCTGGGAGACTAGATCAGAGACTAGATGACCTAATATCTCAGATGTGAGTGGTGAGTCACAGCACTCCGGACACATTTATAGATGATCATACTTTTCTTCTCAAAGCCGAATCAGACTGGATAACAGGGTTCTTGAGGAAAGAACTCAGAAACTAATCCATCTCATTCTCAACCATTTTTCTGAATAACACTGGAATTCTGAGTACATCTGAGGTCCTATCTGTGATATGGCTGGGTGAAATCTACAAATAATTTGCTCACCTTCACAAATCTGAAAGACATTGTCTTTGTATACATTAAATGTATCTTTATAGTACACCAATAATTATGGCAGGCATTTGCAGTACAATAAAACAATACTATACAATAAAAATACAAAACTTTTTCAACACAATTTTGAGACAATTCTTTCTCTTTAATATAATGTTTTTTGTAAGTTATTTTGACTTAAAATAACACAAAATAAGGGCAGTTCTCAGCACTCAGTTGTCACATAAAATAGATTGTTCTGGATTTGCCGAACTGAGCCTCCAATTTACAGTACTTTGTTTTTACGAGCATGTCTGCTATTTTTGTCCACATTTGAACAAGATACTTCAGAAATATTGTTCAGCATGAAATTGCCATAAGTGAAGTATATATTAATCAAATGTAATCATATAAAATCATACAACTATGGACAGTTTTCTCTCAATTACAAGCAGAGATTACTTTATGACTATTACATAGGTATGTATACAGCTGGAAATTAAAAGTCAATTCCACTAAATATGAGATAAGTCCAATGTGTTGCTGATTTAAAGAGACCTATAAAACGTTAAGAATACAGATGTCCTGAACCAGGTTGGATCCCACAGTTTAGCATTGTGGATGCTACATCTAACATCTTAGATTCCTCCAAATAAACATATTCACAGACACTCTGATGAAATTTATCAACATATTATACCTGGTTAAAACTAATGAGAGAATTAAACTTCTTCTTTGGTAAAACAGACGTGTAACCAATTTGAACTACAGTCAAATGTCAGCCACTGCAATCTCTTACTCTAATCAACACCACCTGAATGTCTACTAACAAGAGCACCTAATCACTGTAGATCACTGTAGCAGCACTTAAAGTAATGAGCACCCAATGCAAATCGCTTTGCTGTAATTAATCTAAGAGAACTCTGTGATATTTATCCTGTTTTTTCCAAATTGTGTCACTTGATTATTTCACAAACTGCATATGGGCCATTAATCTTTCTGAACATGAATTTACTTTCAGGA